GGATCCCGCGGTGGTCTTCCCCTTTCCGGTCAACAAACGGGAGCCGGCGCCTGTGCCTGCGGTCCCGGCTGGTGTGCCCGCGGCTGGGGCCGCCGTCCCCTCCGGGGCGAGTGTTGCAGCCCCGGGGAGTGTCCCCCCGGCTGCCGCTCCCCCGCGCGCTGGAGGTCGCCCGGCTGCCAGCGGTGACCAGAAGGCTCTCAGCACCTCTGGCGAGGACACCCTTAGCGACTCAGGTAATGACCGTGCCCCGCCCCGACGGCCTCACGGGAATACCGAAGCTAGGGCCAATGGTCCTTCTGTTTTGTGTTTTTATGTTGAGCTTTGGGGACCACTTTCGAGGCAGTGCCGCTGGTGGCGCGGTCCCGCTCCTTCCAAGCCCCTTCCACCCCAGAACTTCCCCACCCCCACCCCAGCGTTCTCTAAAGCTTCACGTTCCCCCAAGTTCCTCCCACGGTCTCTTTGGAAAAGGCCATCACTGGCGCTCACCTGGTCCCGCGCCTCTTTTGCCAGCCAAGTCCGAGCGATCGCATTGACAGAGCGTTAATGGCCAAAGGCAAGGGGGCAGCGCCGGGTCAGTTGGCTGGGCAGAGACCTGTTACACAAGGCTGGAAAGGGACTCTTCCGCCAAGGACACCGGAAAGAAAAGACCCCGAGAAAACGCACGGGCTTTGCACCATCCTATTTGGGGCGCAGGAAGTTAGCGTGAGATTGCACAGATGGCTAGTAATCGGTCTTGCTTTTTTCCAAACCTCCCTTCTGCTCTCCACCTCCCCTCGGTGGGCGGTGGGCTAGTTGTCCCTGGTGTGTGGCCAGCAGGCGGCGGTGTGGAGGGCCGGCCGAGTCCCTGAGAAGCTGGGGGGTGGGGGGCACCCCGCCCGCCCGCCATGCAGCAGCTGGCGGCCAGCACCACAGCGGTTGTAGACACTCCGAAGGAGCCTCCTCTGTGCAGTTCCCTGTGCAAACCGGGTGCGGTTCTGTCTCAACCTTCCTTTGACGGGCATCGCTGGGCTAATTGGAGATCCGATTAGTGGCCTGTAACAACCCAGTGCCCTTCAAATCGAGGAGCTGCGTTGAGCAGGCTCTTCAGGAATGCTCACAGGATAGGAATTTTATTGTGTGCACTTGTCTGCCTAAAACTAAAGGGAATGATTAAAATCAGGACTTTGTCCTGGACTCCGGGAGGTCAGAGTCCTGCCCTCCTTCCTCTTGGGCCTTAAAAACCAATGTTTTCAAAATCCAGAGTGTAGGTAAGGTGTCTGAAAAGCCAGCATTTCCTTCACTGCGGTTCCATCTGAGGCTCCTGGGAGGAAAACTTGGTGATAAGCCTCCGGTTTGAAAAAGCTCTCTGTCCCTTTAATGTCTGAGCCTTGACAGCTTTTGGTGAGGGAGCACTTCCTTCCAACAGCTGTGTTCTTGGCAGAAAACCAAAACATTGGCTTAAAGGGACCCACAGACTGGAACAGCCTCACATTTCGGCTTTAGAACAAATCCAGCAATTGTTCAGCTTTCCGGTCTCCTTTAGATCCCGCAGAAGATGTGTTTTGATTTTCATGCTTGCATTTCAAGCCATCATTTTCTATCCTGGCCTGATCGGGACAGGAGGAGAGAGAGCAGGGAGTGCAGGATGGGACACGTTCGGCCTGCGCCTGTTATTCCTGGCGACTTTCAGAGGAGGTGCTCGCATTGTTTGGGTTCAGAGCTACTGGGACTGACACCTTTGCAGTCGAAACTAGCTCGTTGTTACAGGACGAAAAATGGTTTCTACATAGGATTCATATGCGTGGAAGTAAATGGGGTTTTATGCTTAATTAAATTAAGTGTTTCCTCTTTTTTTTCCCGTAAGAATTTAAAAGTTGCCCTCGACCCTGGGTTAATCTGTACATCTCCTAAATGAGAAACTCGGAATGTACATAGGTCCTCAAAGCAGACTGGTAATTATGGTAATAGGCTGCTGTTTGTTGAATTGAGCCATCTCCTCCCCCTCCCCCAATAGCTGAGGGAAACTGAGGCTTAGAAAAGTTAACAGAACTTGATTTTGTAGGGTCAGGCAACTGGGGCCATATGGACCTGAAAGCCCAGGTTTTTTCTATTTCTGCCGCCTGCTGAGATCAGAGTAGGGGCGGGAAATTCAGATAGGTCCTGAGGAAGAGGAGAAAAGCATTTCCAGATCATTTGATTTTTAAGGAAACCCTAAAATGCCCATATTTACAGAGATAGGCCCATAAAAAAATAGCCAACCGCGTGTCAGCCCCCCCTCCTCTGAAAACGATGATAATTCCCACCTCACTAATAACTCCCCCATTTCCTCTAAGACGATGACGACGACGAAGAGGAAGACGAAGAGGAGGAAATTGACGTGGTCACCGTGGAGAAGCGTCGGTCCTCCTCCAACAACAAGGCTGTCACCACCTTCACCATCACCGTGCGCCCCAAGAACGCAGCCCTGGGCCCGGGGCGGGCGCAGTCCGCCGAGCTGATCCTCAAGCGCTGCGTCCCCATCCATCAGCAGCACAACTACGCCGCCCCCTCCCCGTTCGTGGAGAGCGAGGAGGCGCCGCCCCAGAAGAAGATCAAGAGCGAGGTGTCCCCGCGCCCCCTCAAGAGCGTCGTTCCCCCAAAGGCTAAGAGCTTGAGCCCCCGCAACTCTGACTCGGAGGACAGTGAGCGCCGCCGGAACCACAACATCCTGGAGCGCCAGCGGCGCAACGACCTGCGCTCCAGCTTCCTCACGCTCAGGGACCACGTGCCAGAGCTGGTGAAGAACGAGAAGGCCGCCAAGGTGGTCATTTTGAAAAAGGCCACCGAGTACGTCCACGCCCTCCAGGCGGAGGAGCACCAGCTCCTGGTGGAGAAGGAGAAATTGCAGGCACGACAGCAGCAGCTGCTAAAGAAAATCGAACTCGCTCGGACTTGCTAAACAGTTCTCAAAACTGGACGGTCACTGCCACTTTGCACATTTTGATTTTTTTTTTTTAAAGACAAATATTGTGTTGACATTAAGAATGTTGGTTTACTTTCAAATCAGTCTCCTGTTGGCGAGTTTGGATCTGGGTGGGGGAAGCAGGACGAGTGGGGATTCTGCCAGGATCTTAGGACTGGGCCTGCTGCGGGCCCTGCTTGGTAGCCCTCTTTCAGTTTCCCTCCACCTCCCCTCTGAGATGTGGGAGAAGGTCGTGATAAGTGGAGGTCCTTTGGGACTGTTGAAGTCACCTTGTAACAAGTTTCCAAACAACAGTCATTCCTTCTTTTTTTTTTTTTTTAAAGAAAAATGGTGCTTACGTCCCAGCAGATGTCACTTAAAGGGGTTTGCCATTTGATACCCCTGGGGAAGATCTCTGTAAATACCATTGACAACACTGCCTTTTGTACATGTCGTGGGTAATGAGAGGTGGCTTTCTCGGCCAGTATTAGACTGGAAGTTCATACCTAAGTACTGTAATACCTCAATGTTTGAGGAGCATGTTTTGTATACAAATATATTGTTAATCTCTGTTATGTACTGTACTAATTCTTACACTGCCTGTATACTTTAGTATGATGCTGATACATAACTAAATTTGATACTTATATTTTCGTATGAAAATGAGTTGTGAAAGTTTTGAGTAGATATTACTTTATCACTTTTTGAACTAAGAAACTTTTGTAAAGAAATTTACTATATATATATATGCCTTTTTTCCTAGCCTGTCTCTTCCTGTTAATGTATTTGTTCATGTTTGGTGCATAGAACTGGGTAAATGCAAAGTTCTGTGTTTAATTTCTTCAAAATGTATATATTTAGTGCTGCATCTTATAGCACTTTGAAATACCTCATGTTTATGAAAATAAATAGCAATTAAATGATCCTCTTAACTGTTTTATTCCACTCATCGTCCTAGTCACACTTTACCTCTTCAGCACCGGCCATAAATACTGCGTGGCTTTAAAGTCGGCTCGGTATCTGTAGTTTCCATAGCCAGACAGCCAACCGGTTTATAATTCCATTTGAACAGTCCTGTGAGGGGAGAGGTCATTTTCCTCACTTGGACATTAGGAGACTGGGCTTAGGGACATTAAGGCAATTCTCCAAGATGACATCGAACTGACTCTTGAGTGACCAACTTTGCATGGTAGCAGTAGTACGTAGCAGTTTATAAAGCGCCCACGTGTCTGTTGGCCAATTAATGGACTTGTGCTAAACCGACAGATGCCCAGCTTTGAGAATGTTAAGTCACCCCTGGGGTCCCTGGCAGACACCCTTGTTTAATGTAGAGCCTAGTTTGTCTTTGAAAAATAGGGAGTCCTTGAGAATGTACTGGCACCTATGCAGGGCTCTGTTGAGCTCAGACCTGGCACTCCCCTTGCGCTCACAATCTTGATTCACAAACATGCAATTAATTAATCCATGGTTTGAAGTGACAGTGGAGGTCAAGTGCCATGCCTTCAGAAAAGGGACTGCTGCATTGGGCATAGTAAAGCTTTGTCTACATACCAGTTGGTATTTTGAACACTTGTTGCGTCCTGTGGAAGGAAGGAAGCAGGCTCTGGTTTGCAGGCCTCGAGCCCAGGGTCAGGATGAATGGGCAGGAGGGAGGCAGAGTTCAGCTGCAGGTTAGGAAGCAGTTTCGGAGAGTTGTGATACCAGCCAACAGCCTTCGGTGTCAGGCACCCTGCTCTCTGGATGAAGTATACAGCCTCGGGTTGCGGGTTGAAGGGCTGTATGTACTGGGTTAATTTGTCTAGGGTTTTCATTCATCTCTTTACAACCCTGAGCTAAAGAAGACCTTTGGGTTTACAGAAAAGAAAACAGTTCGCTGGAGGAAAAGGGTCTGCTTAGCAGGCTGTAGCTGATGCAGGGGCAGAGGTGGGAGAACCCAGACCCTGTCAGCCTGAGCCCTTTTAAAAAGGCAAGAGGGGGAGGTGAGGACTTGGGAGTCCTTGCTGGTTTATAGTTCCAAACCTCAGAACTGTGAGGTGGGTGATAATGTCTTTCTGAAGTGTGACCTGACCTCTCCTCCCTAGAAACTTTGGAATGACAGGGCCACTCTTATATTTTAAGGGACTTCCTGTCGGTCTGTGTCCTACTCCCGCCTCCCCAAACACTCAGCAGGCTCTGCTCCTAGCCTGTGTCCTCAGGTAGCAAGAGAGTAAAGTAACTCTGGGAGTCAGAGTTAGAATTGCCCCGCAGGGTTTCCAGAGCCGTGGTCTCCGAGGCAGATCTTTCTCCTATGGCATGGCTGGTGAGTTCAAACCTTTTTTGTTCAAGCCTTTTGGTTAGTGGTTAAGCACTTCAACCACTGTGCTACCAGGATGCTTACAGTTAAGGGACCACATGTTCATTGAGTCCCTGTGAGGGTCCGAGCCTAGAGCCTAGTTCTATCGTTGGAATTTCTCTTGTTTGTGGGGCCTCAGTAAGTAGCCACAGGGAGAATAACTTGAAGCCAATGAGGGGCCCAAACTATAATCCCTTGGAGCTCTGGGGGTGAAGTGGGCTATTGGTTTGCGCTCTGAGCTGCTAAGTACGGCCTAAAGAGTCTCTATGAGCCAGAAGGGACATTGTGGCAAGATGAGAAACTGCTCTCTTAAGGTGCTCTATTTTGCTTCGGCTGCTGGGAAGCTCAGGACCAAATTCCACGCTTTCATTCTGTCCGTCAGTGCCATTCCCTAACTCCCCCTTTCGAAATGAGCATTCCTGATTTCTTGTTTCCTTGTTAGCTAACCGTCTTGTAAATGTCTTTATTTTCTATTCCAGGAAGCGCTGTTTTAGAATTTGTGGGACTTCAATATGTCCTTAAAAATCCTACAAATGATCTCTTTAGATTTTTTTACTTCATAAAAATTTTAAAAATCCTAAAACCAAGGTGAAAAATAACACATTTGCCTTTACGGACCAAGCTGAGGGGAAAATGCCACCCAATTTAGCTCTGCAATTATTTCTGAACTAACTACTGTAGTCAGGGCGTGCGAAACCATCCCTGCATTCCAAGGGCAGTTTGGAGTTAAGTCAGTCGATCACGATGCTTAGATGGAGCACAGAGTTTCTCTCATTAAATGGCTTCGTTGTACAGAATGGGGGTGCAGGAACCAGGATTATAGTCCTGTGTTGTTTGCCGTGGTCCTTGCTTCTCTTCCTTCTCCTTTGAGAGCCCATCACCCTACCTGCTTGCTCTCTGGTACCCATGCTGTTGTTAGCTGTCACCTGGTCAGCCTAGACTCAGCAATCCCCGTTCATAGTGGAATGAAACACCTGCACCATCCCCGTGACCAGTGGTGGATCTGACTGTTGTGGTCCATAGGATTTTTTTTCCCTTGCTGAGCCAGGACTTTCTTTCTAGTCTCTCTTAGGCTGGGAGCTCTGCAAATCCTCCTCAGCATCGTTGATAGCAACCTGCAAGCTCCCATTGGCAGGTACTCGCTGCATATAAGGTAGACTGGCCAGGAATTGAGCCGGGGTGTCCTGTATTGAAAGTAGGGAGGCTGCCACCAAGCCACCTGTCCATGTTAATATTTCTAAATAACCAATCCTGCATAAGCATTTGTGGAAGAAAGGGCCTTCTACACCTGTCAAGAGTTACGGTCTTGGAAACTTTTGGAAACACAGGGGCAGTTCACCCTGTTCTCTAGGGCAGCGGAGCTGGAATGCACTCGATGGCAGTGAGTTTGTTTTTCATTTTTGGCATCCGCACTTCCGAGAGCTCTGCACCACTGACTGACCGGACCAAGTCAGATCCGCTGGGCCACCGGCTCCACCATCGCTGCCCCTTAAAGGGCGCCTCGTCCCAGCCACGTTAGACAGAAACCGTCCTTTTCCATTAAAGCCTTGCTGCCCCCTTTCCTTCCTCCTGGATGATCACCTGGCTTCTGGTTTTTGGCATTCCTTTTCGATCTTGAATCACAAATGCGGTCATCTCGTTCAGGATGTCTTCCCCGTGCCCCTAGGTGGATGGGTGGATCCTGAGCTTTTCCAACACTTGGTTCCAAAGCACTTACTCGCTGTCACTTGAGAGGTGTCCTGATCATCCCTTCCTCGAGGGCAGGAGCTGGGTCTCATTCACCTCTGATCCTTCAGCCCCTGGTTTGGTGCCTGACTGATGAGAGGGCTTCCGCAGATGGTGGCAGAATGGACGCGCAGCTGAGTGGGCAGCAGGAGAGGAGTGAGGCGAGGACAGGCCAAGCAACGTTCCATCACGTGTGTCTCCTGCCAACCTAGGTCCACTGGCTCTCGGGCTAATCCAAATGGGCATTCCTTAGGCTTCCATAAGTGTCTAGGTTCTGACGACGCTCGAAGCTCAGGAGAGACACAAGGAAAGGCCCGTCCATCTTCGGGAAAAGCACAGCGTGGAAGGGAGCGAAGGCCTGGAGGCTTGTGCCGAAGGCACAGAGTGGGGAGAGGAGGGAAGGGGTGGGAGGGGATGCTTCACCAAAGCTTGTGAATGGTCCCACGGCTGAGCTAGTGGGTGTCTGAGTCTCCAGGCTCCCCAGTTTAGAGCTCAGGGCTGGGGAAAACCTTTTTGGTTTTTTGCCTCTGCCTTGGGTCGCTGGGGTCGCTGGCTGGAGGAGGCTCCTCCGCTCGCCTGAGACTGCTCATTGCCAGGCCTCGCAGTGACAAGGCTATAATCGCCGTGAACCACTCTTTGGGACTTAACCAAGGTTTCCCTTTTTCTTTTCTTTCTTTTCCTGCTGGAGTCTCACTACCTTTCAGGAGCCTTGACCAGTTCATCTGGGCTTAACTTCCATTCGTTTCTAGGATCGCTATCTAATTTGCTTTTGTTGGGCGAAGTTTCGAAACCATACTGGAAAGCCAAGTGCAGGAGGAATAGCACCCAGCCTGCCGACTCAGGTTCTTTCTTTCTCTCTCTCTCTCTCTCTCTCTCTCTCTCTCTCTCTCGCTCTCGCTCTCGCTCTCGCTCTCGCTCTCGCTCTCTCTCTCTCTCTGGTCCTTCTTCCTGCCTTGCCTGCCTTTGTTTCAACAAGTATTAGTGGGGTACCTACCATGAGTTAGGATCTATTCCAGGTGCTCGGGAGACCTTGATGAACAAGACAGACAAAAATCCACCAAGCCCTTGCTTCAATAAAACGTATCGACAAGAGTGCCAATAAAAATAAACATAATAAGCAGATACATAAAGTAGCTTTCAATAAAGTGGTGAGCGCTAAGGAACCTAAGTTAAAGGGGGGAAGACATTCAGAGTTGTCTCAGAAAGAGAGAAGGGGTTCCTATTTTCAGTGGCATGGTTGGGGAAGGTGGGGATGTTGAGGGTGGAGGGAGGGGCCCTAGCCTTGCGGTGGCTGCTCAGAGACCGGAACTCAGGTCTCCGCCTTCCTGATTCAGGCCTCAGCTTCCTTCAGCTCCCTCTGGTAAAGTCTCCCCACCAACATTCTCTTCATGTCTCAAGACAGTGTGTAGAGCATAGTCATTTAGAGGATGAACCTGAAGTTCGTCCCTTGCTGGTTTGAATCCCACCCCCACACTCACGAGCTCTGGGACCCTCCGTCTCTCCACGGGTACTTGGCATTTCACTGGATTATTGTGAGGATCACCTAGAGATTTTACAGCGAGCACCCAAGACAGTGCCTGGCACATGATAGGTGTGAGTTAAGTCTGTGTTCACTCATCCAATTTGGTGCTGACAGGCTCCTTCCTCTCTCTATTTCCTCAGTGTGTTACTAGAGCAAAGAACCTCAAAAAATAAAGCCTTTACCAGTAGAACAAATTTGCAAGCCTGAGTTTAACAAGGACTTTGTGGACTTTTGTTCCTCAAAAGAGGCCTTACAAAACCTGAAGATGGGTACCTTGGAAACAAGTGAATGTGAGCTTTGAAGCCTATTTTCAGACGGATCCTAGGAATGTGAGTGCTGCCGAAC